TATCTCTTCCTCTATCTCTATCTCTCTCTCTCACACACACACACACCCGCGCGCACACACTCCACTTTATCTCTTCCTCTATCTCTATCTCTCTCTCTCACACACACACACACCCGCGCGCACACACTCCACTTTATCTCTTCCTCTATCTCTATCTCTCTCTCTCACACGCACAGACACCCGCGCGCTCACACTCCACTTTATCTCTTCCTCTATCTCTATCTCTCTCTCTCACACACACACACACCCGCGCGCACACACTCCACTTTATCTCTTCCTCTATCTCTCTCTCTCTCACACACACACACACCCGCGCGCACACACTCCACTTTATCTCTTCCTCTCTCTCTCTCTCTCTCACACGCACAGACACCCGCGCGCACACACTCCACTTTATCTCTTCCTCTATCTCTATCTCTCTCTCTCTCTCTCTCACGCACACCCGCGCGCACACACTCCACTTTATCTCTTCCTCTATCTCTCTCTCTCTCTCTCACGCACACACACCCGCGCGCACACACTCCCCTTTATCTCTTCCTCTATCTCTATCTCTCTCTCTCTCTCACGCACACACACCCGCGCGCACACACTCCACTTTATCTCTTCCTCTCTCTCTCTCTCTCTCTCTCTCTCACACGCACAGACACCCTTGCGCACACACTCCCCTTTATCTCTTCCTCTTCCTCTATCTCTCTCTCTCTCACGCACACACACACCTGCGCGCACACACTCCACTTTATCTTTTCCTCTATCTCTATCTCTCTCTTGATTTGGCCTTCTTCCTTACACAATGTTCGGCCCATTCACATTACTATGGTTCTCATCCCCATTAATTATACCCAGACGTTGTGTGTCCGGAAATGGTTTATATCCGGACAGTTGATTAAAAACAGCAATTAATTTGAAGTAGTTTACAACCTATATTTCATAAATATTCTAAGAAAGATGTTATATAATATTATACAGGACAAATATTCATGTGGTTTTAGTGCTATTTGATGAATATTTTTTATCGATTCCAAAGGCAATAAGAGAAGGCTTTATATCTATCCGGACACATAACCCCCATCAAACTATTATGTTAAGCACACAGACGAATCCAAAAGGCAAATGGTGTTCACCTCTTTTTTGTTTTTCACTCGGATTCCTAGGTAAAGTTTGATACTTAGACGATGTCACCGACTGAACTTTTTATAAACTGTACCCAAAGTGCTTACATGTTATGTTTTAGGGGCCTATCATTGTTTGTTCGCATTTCAACAACCATTCTGGCTATAAATGTTCGTTAGATCTAAGAAACGCACTACGAACAATAATTATGTTAAAGAAAAGACCCACAGAAGACCAGAAAGGGCATTTGTTTTCCTAACTATATTGACATGGCATCAAGAATAAATCAAAAAGAAGCAATTTGTGTCAATGATAATCAATGCTTACTGACGTTCTTTCAATATGCGAACACACTTAAAAAATCAATTACATATGACATCTTAAGAAGCACGAATGGATCCTGATTATGATCCTGAATAGATTTCATTCGATTAAGATGACAGCTTAATTCAATAAATTGTTATCGTTGTGCTTATGAGACGATAAATGAAGCCCAAGAGACTTTTGTTAGCGTAATAGGTGCTTTATTCATTCACCGTTGATTCTCGGTGTTCGATCACGCAGAAGCTGAAAAAACCCTGCAATTTGCAGAATAATAAATTACAAATGTCATCTTCACAAATACATGATCATCTGAATGAAAATAAAAACAAATTAATTACTAAACAGAGATATTGTATATCCTCTTGATTAAATATCATATTAAGTAATTACAAATTGATCTCCAAATCAAATCTGATTCATCTTGATTCTCTTGTATAATCACTGAATTAAAATATTATAGTCATTTACTTCTTTTTCTTCTTTCTTCTTTGGGGTTAAGTCTACCTCCTTCATAGTTGAAGATTCTTGCAGACTGATGAGTGTGTGTGTGCTTACGAGAGCCAGGTGCATGGTACAATGCTATTACTTAATGAATGCCATAATTAAATCTAAACATCAAATCAGTTGTAAGAATCTCATCAAACAGTAATATAAATATAGCAATCAGAGCATCATACTTGCATCAGACAAACAAGAAATACATGCATTAAAGGGATACTTGAGTTCTGTTTTCAGACCGCAAATGCCTGCTAAGTGCATGGTTATTGCTCTTATTCTTATCTATGACATTTACAGTGCCCTTTTAGAACCTAAAATTGCTATGAAGGTAATTTTAGACCCCAAAATGTGTGAAATTTAGCCAATACGATCATACTAATTCAAAAAATACCCCCCCCCAAAAAAAAAAAACAACACGGTGACCGTTAATTAATTATTTAATTAAAAATAACAATACAAGAGCCGGCTAATTGTGGGTAATGTAAGCAACACGAAAATGCTAACAAAAAGCCAACATCGGCATTGGCTGAAATACAACGTAAAAGGCGTAATTTCGTTTTTTTCAACGGTTTTTGCAATTTTTTAAAAATATCTATTATTTGTGGTGTTACTCATGTATTAGAAATCGTTATATTTCAGCCGTCTATGAACCGATTTTGATGAAACAAAGATGATTTTGTCATTTAAATATTATGTTCTTTTAAATTTGACACTCAGTTTTTCATTATCTCACAACAAAATTATTTTGTGTAGCGCCCTCTGCAACAGAACTTAACTATCCCTTTAATCTGTAAGTATTCATAATGCGCTGGAACCATAACCAAATTCCATAACATCAGTAAATTCCATAACATATAAATTGTTAAACATACTGCAATATTAGACTGAGTAAAGTTACACAAAGTCTGTCACAAACTTTACCAGAATATCATCAAAACGTACCCGAGGTCTTCAGCAATAAACCACTGAAGCTCCAGTGAAGAAGGAAGTGAAGGGGAAAAGGGAGACACCAAGAAGCTACCGTCAACCAACTCAGCTAGCTCAGCTCAGCAACAGAAGCTGCAACATGCAAGTCCTCTGATCTTGCCCTTAAAATAATGTAACAACAATAACAGTTACACGTATTTGCTCTCTAAATCACACCAATGTAAATTGTCATATCATCTACAGCTAATGGTAAATAGCTAGCCATAAACACAACGGGAAAATATCAACAATATTCTTTATATCAAAACTATCTTCAACTCACATCTAGGAACAACCTATGGGCGCCGCCATCTTTCTAGCTTATTTACATCTTGCTGCCCTCAACGTCAAGATACATTTTTTACTTCACATGGGTGCAAAATACAAAATGGGATAATTAATTTTTCAATTATCTTTACAATCCCTCAAAATATCTTTTCCAATATATGACGAAAGAAAATTACTCTGACATTTTTATCTATAAACAGCGTAATATGACCAAATTAATGCCCTAACCAAAACTTCTTTTCAACGTCATAAACAGGCATTCTTATCTTAATTACTTCAAACAGACATTAATATCCACCTCATACTATGCATTATTACTCACTGTGATACAAGATTAAAAACCAAATATCTATATCTATAAGCATTATCAAGTCATTATATCGAAAAATATCGGCTCGTACTTTGCGCTCGCATGGTATAACTGCATATGAAAAAAAAATACTGTGTTTCCAGGTAAATACCCTACCCCCCCCCCCCCTTCCTAGTGGTGGTCTAAAAATAAGGGTAGAGCAAAGAGAGAATAAAAAGGAAGGCTTAACAATTTTGGACTGTATAAAAATGGGGGGGGGGGCAGTCGGGGGAATCTTAAAATTAACGGCGGGTCAAAACAAATGATGGAGCCCCCCCCCCCCCCCATCCTGAAAATCTTCCTAAGCCTATGCTGTTGTACCACAAGGTAAGTTTCGTTTGATTCTGTGAGACTTCATTTTCTTTTTTTTGTGGCAGAACTCACCTTTTTCTTTAAGATAAAAAATGAGAAGTGCATGTAAATAATATTTTCCATATATTATACATAAGATTGTATCGACAAATACTGGGAAGATTTGAATACAATACTCACTCCTCCCTTCCCTCTCTAATTATCTCTCTATCTCTCCTCTCTCTCTCTCTCTCTCTCTCTCTCTCTCTCTCTCTCGACGTATACAGGGAAGAGTCACCTTATGACAAGTTTCCTCCGAATTCCTCTCACCTGAGGGACCATTGCTCCCCCCTCCGCCCCTCCTCTCTCTCTCTCTCTCCCTCTACTTCCCTCCCCCTCTCTTTACTATCTCTCTCTCTCTCCCTCTCTTCTTTATTTTCCAGCTTTTTTTTTTTACTATTGCTATGTATTTATCTTCCCTACACATATTATTAAGGTGATACATCACTTGGAAATATAGGTCTAGTGGTCCTATCGACGTCTAAATTGTCAATATAATGGTCATTTCAGAGATTGATTGATACCCTCATATTTCACACATAATACTTACTAGTCTGATATATGGCAGTAGTGAATAACGTCGGCACCATTCAGCTCCTAAGCCAGCCCTGATCGACACCTCCAGAAGCAGACGACAAGGAGGCAGGTATCGAGGAATTATCGGCAGCAAAACTCGATTTCTATCCCGGGAAATGGCGCGCATTTCTACTTTGCTTCTTCTTGCTGCGCTGTCCTTCATGCACGCTAGCGAAGGCACGTCCTTTCGAGAGCTCTTCCATCAAGTTTGGTATAATATTAACATTTTGTTTGTTTCTATTAACGAGGATTTGAAATTCCGTTTCGAACTTGTTTTTGTTCTTCTTAATGCTGTACAATTCGTGTATGATAATCCATAAGTGCGGATTCTATTTCAATTTGAATTGATTTGATTCGTGACCTACATGAGTAATTTTTTTCCTTTTTTTGCATTAAGTGGGCGAGATTTTTTTGTACAAATATTTAAAATATTTCTTTTTAAAAGAATGAAAATTCACCTTTTAAGATAAAAAAAAAATGAGAAGTGCATGTAAATAATATTTCCCATATATTATACATAAGATTGTACCGACGAATACTGGGAAGATTTGAATACAATACTCACTCCTTCCCTCGAGTCCCTCTCTAATTGTTTTTTTTTTCTCTCTCTCTCTCTCTCGACATTTCCAGGGAAGAGTCACCTTATGACAAGTTGATTCTAGCATACAGATGGGCGCCATCGTATTGCAAGAAGGTATTTCTTTATTTTACTCGTATATTAATACATTCCCCATCTACCGTGCATTTTATATAGTACTTGCAAAGTAAATTAATTTCTCTCTCTCTCTCTTAAAACAATATATATATTATATAATCATATTCGCAATGTTTGATTCAAGATTTACTTGCAATACTCCCGAGATTATTCTCCATAGCTCCTTCACTCACTGATAATATCATGGACCACTGAAGGGATCTTAAGCTATTTAAACATTACAGATTTAAAACATTATCATAGCATTCTTTTGAAATTTTGGTTTAGTTTCCTTTTATTTTCAGTATAAAATACATATATCGAAATATATACATAATTACTTTTTTTAAATATTATGGCTGGGCTGCTCTATTCAGATCCACAAAATGACTCCGTTCATCCTAGAGGTCCAGAAAATACGTATCCAAATTTACCACTTGGTCAATGTGACGACAAAAATTGTTTGCAAAAATTTCGGATGGAATAAAGAGACCAGAACAAGACGGTCGAGATTGAAGGAAATTCTTTATCCTTGTGTAGTTCAACCCACCCCGGGGTAGGGGTGTACTCAAAATGGTTTGGACGGGAGTGTGCCGCTGAAGCCTCGAAACCCTACTCCTTTTTAAGGGTCATTTGGGGGGACTTTTCTCGAAATAAGGCCCATTTTCCCCAATTCTCGGGTGTTTTTTCGGATGTATGCTATAAAAACACCCAACAATTTTGGAAATTTTAGAAATTATAAAAAAAGTGGATCCATTTTTAACGGTATTTTTGTTAAAAGTGGGACCCATGTTTAGGGATTTGTGTGTGTGTAAAAGTGACTCATTAGAGCGGCACACCCGTATGTCTTAAAATGTGAGTACCCCCCCCCCCCCCCCACCCCCCGCCCCCCGGGCAACCCACGCCTATAAAAACAAAAACAGAATCCCAAACTGGAGGGCGTATTGTATTGCGTGAAATTACAACGTTTGATTAACTGGAAAATTCGGGGGATTACCCTCCGTGCATTATTCATGAACTTCCTTTTAATACGGATGTTCACTTTTTCAGGAGGACTGTGTAATCCATTTAACAGCCAAGAAAGAGTGGACCATACGCGGGCTGTGGTAAGTCGAATCTTCTAGAAAATGATAATATTCATTACGTTCTTTCCGTTAGTTCAACAATGTGCTTGCTTTCGCTCATTTGCCATACAAGCATTTTTGCACAAACAATATACACCAATTGACACGATCGAGAGAACGATTGCTTTGGGCAATACAATAAAATATTAATTATTAGCAAAGCTACAATCATTTTTCTGTTCAAAATTCGATTTTGCAACAGGCAGTATTTTATTCACCCCAATTGTTGTGTATAAAATGAGGGCTTCTATTTTCACTAATAGAAAACCCCAAAGTCTTTTGATTTGAAATTTTAGACATACTTTAATAAACTCATCTTGCTGCTATAGATCAATTTTGAGAAAAGATTATGAGGGCTTACCAATCCCTGATAAGGTCTTTAAGAATAGATTTAGGGTTAGAGTTCGGTTCAAGTTTAGTGAGAGTTGAGGTAAGCATGAAGGCTAGTTCAGATATGACGCGGAGAAAACCGCGTCGATGATTTTGTTTTGATGACGTACAGGGTAAAACGCTTCACATTCCTGTATCTGATAGTTGCGCGCAGTTGTCATTCATTTCACATGTGAAAAAAAAAACCGTGACGGTTTTCATTTTAATATTATAGGCCCATTTACACATCCAAACGACCCTTTTGAAAAATCGTCGATTTTGGGGAATATCATTAACACTACTGGAAAAATCTACAACAACAAAAAAAACAAATAAAAAAAACCCGTCGAAGTTTGTAGTTGTGCGCATGCGCGAATCGTCGGTGCGCTGCATGCGTTAGCGCGGAAGCAAGGAGAGTCACGTGACGAAAAACCGGTATCTCATCGAAGTTTGCTTTTAGTTTTTACACTGCAAAAAAATCGGTGAAACTTCGGCGGAAGTTTAAAGAAAACCACACTCCAGAGGTAGATGTTTTGATTTAGATTTTTTTTTTTGTCGCGTTTTCCGGTAGTATGCAACTACCAGCGGCATACAGGAGTGTGAGGAGGGGGGGGGGGGGGGGGGAGACGATTTCTGGTGCAGTTTAAATGCAGCTATTATTATTTATTTATTACATTTATTTATGTACAACAAAAGACCAACATTGCAACGTATGTGGTATAAATATTGAAAAAAACGGTGGGGATCTTCACTTGCCATCCTACGAAGAAAAATTGCCCGCCACAGTACCACCGAGGTTGAGTGGCGTGCGCCCCTGACGAAATAGTGCCCATACGCATATGCCAGCAGTGTCTCGACGGCTCTTGTTTATGATACTCTCTCTCTCTCTCTCTCGCTTTCTTTCTCTCTATTTCAGGCCTTACAAGAACGGTGAGGAAACTAACCCCGAAAATTGTCCAGGGCCTAGCTACGACAGAAATGTCATCAGTGTAAGTTCTGTCTGTACTTCTTTGACATTTTAAGAAAGGGGACCCAACATTAGCCTTGTATGAAAGCATATCCTCTAATTTGACACTTTACCATAATTCCTAAAGCCTTTAATAGGGCCTAGAATTGAGTAGGGACTAGATATTTTATTTTTTAATCAATACAAAAAAACAAAAAAACAAGGGGAGGGGGTTTCCTCCGAAACACAAACACACACAAAATTGAGGGGGGGGGGGTTCGACCCCCCACCACCCTGCGTACTTGCCTGAGTAGCAGTAGTAGTAGTATTATCATCATCACCATCATCATCATTATCGTGGTTATTAAAGACGTTTTGATAAACTATGATTTTTTTATCTGATGTTTTGAGGAAAGTTTCAAGTCAAATATCGAACCAGTATGTGATAAAGAGAAATAGAGAGAGAGAGTGGGGGGGGGGGGGGGGGGAAGCGTTATTTTTTTCGGCGGCACAGATTGGGGTTAGGTGCGTGTTGAGCCTATGGAAAAGTTTAGAGTTAGGGTTAAACCAAGACGTCTTTTTAAAAAAGCCCCAATTTGTGCCGCAGAAAAAAATGACGCGACCGGGGAGGGGGACGTGTAAGATGAGCTAGTCCTGCTTGCTCAGTTGGAATTTACTGCGCCGTAAATGGCGTATGGCTAAATAAGAAGCGGTGTGTATTTTAAGGGGATGGGTGTAGTTTTTTCTTTTTTCCAATGACTTGCTTTTGAAGCAATTTAGATGTGTAAATAGTTTATCATGTCATTTAATGTTTCAAAGTTTTGCTTATGTTTCATCCATTTATCTGACGTAGAACTTGCGTCAAAAGATGATCAAGAAATGGCCTACGTTCAAGAGGGGAGGAACTAATGACAAGTTCTGGTGCGTATCTTTGCAGAAGTGTGCCTTAAATGACATTCTCTTACACATTATGATACAAATTAATTGAAATTTTGCCGTCAATTTTTGGGGGGTGGAATTTGGGGCTCCCAGCACTTTAGAGGGGCTTTGATATGAATTTAGTTCTCACGTCAGTTTTGACTAAATAAGTAGAATATGGGCCAAAGAGGACAGGGGGGTAACATAATAAATAGCTTTCGGGACTACGTAAGCGATCGACGGGAAAAGCATTTTCAAATAATCAAAATGAGGAATGGGTTGGGAAAAAGAGAGGAGAAGGGAAGATAAGAAAAACAACAAAGGAGGATGAGATTAAGGAGACGAAGAGAGAGGAGAAGGAGGGGAAGGAGGCGAAGAAGAAAACAAATATAACCTTTTGCGGGACTAGGAAAGAGAGGGAAAGAGGACCTCAGGGATACCAAGATGAGGAGAGGAGGATGGAAAGAAGGGTGATAGGGGTGGAGGAGCTACGTATAATAAAATGAAGGAGGAGATGAAGAAGAAGAAGAAGAAAATGAGGAAGAGGAAGAAGAGGAAAATGAAGAGAAAGAAATAGCAGATGAAAGAGGGTGGCGGAATCAACAAAAAAATGCTACACAAAAGATATTCATTAAAAAAGCACTGTCTGTTTCTTTGTTTATATATGTATAACGTAGGTTTTCCTGGTTCTCCTTGCATATTGTGTTTACATATCATTTTCATAAGTAAATGTTGAAGTATCTATTAAAAACTCTTTTTTGATTATTCAGGAAAGAAACATACGAGAAATACGGAACATGCATCAAAGATTTGACAAAGTTCAACACCATCAACAAGTACTACAAAAACACAATGGACCTCTACGACAAGTACAAAATGAAAGAGTGAGTTATTATAAACCTCATCTCAACGTACATTTTTGAGGAATTCAATTATCATTACTTAAGGGGGCTTAATGCAGCTGTTGCGAAATTCGTTATCTAAGTTTTTTGACGATGTTTTGAAGAAAAAAGTTAAAAATTAAAAAATATGACCCACAGCAAGTTACATTCCATAGTTTATTCACGATCAGATTTATTTTACATTATAATCATTCACTCTTTAATTACTGTGCCCTTGAGTATTGGTCGAGCGAGTGCAAGAACTAATTGGGAAAAGTCGATATTGTAGTACTTCAGAAAAATAATAATATTGTACAGTCATTGATTAGCACAATTTAAGTTAGATTAACTTGATTTATTCATTTATTTGTAACAAACTGTAATTTTGATTTTGTAACGTAACATAGCGTAACATACTGTAATTTTGTACTGAATAATATTGTGTATTCGTGGTGCTGTCGTCCCTGCTTTATTTCGTGTAAGGACATTGCTTCACTTAATGGCTGCTGGGACAACAGCACCACTGCCCCTAGAAACAATGTATTAGGCGCGTTATAAATGTGATCTATTAGTTTTATTATTATTATAGAATTTTTAATGAAAATTGCTTGATCTTGCTAAAAATTCACATATACACTCAGCAAATAAAGTAAGGGGCATTCTTAATTGCTTAAAATTTGCACGTAAACCATCAATAAAATATATATATCAAATTAAATAAAAATTAATATTCTACCAATATCAGTTACCATTAAGCTTTTCACGCTTGGATGGGGGCATTCCTTTAACCGTTAGAAGGTCTCATTAATAGAGCAAGTGGCCGAACAAGTGGCCATTCAATTAATAATATTTAATTTTTATGAACATGTGTAACTGTGAGCAACGCCTTGGCCTGTATTCAATTCAATACTAAAGTACAAAATTTAAGCTTTTTACTTAGTTTTTGGCTTAGAAAAAATACTTAGCCAATTTTGGTATTCAATTCAAACTTTGTGCTAAGTATTTTACCCTAAATTTAAGACAGCTCCCTACCAGACTTAAGCCAATTAATTGGAGGCCTTGACAATGACAAATGAAAGTTTTTGTTATAAGCTAGTGAAATCTTTACTTATGATTGGTTATCAGCAGATTTTTCATTGATTTTTGTCATTTGTCATTGAAAAAAGGCTTTGTGAAACGGGTCTCTGTTTAACAGTTACAAAAAAAAATAATGAGAAAAATGAGGAGGGTTGAGCTCTGGATGACAACTGTAGTCTCAGGACTGCATGGTTTTGACAAGCACGGTGAAGATGCTACTCGTTTCCACCCAGGATCGTGGAGAAGGAATTGCATACCTTCAAACAAAACATAACGTAAACATTTGAGCCTTTGAAATTATCATTAAAAAGTAATGAATAATTGACGATTCTCTACGTTATTACGAGCACATTCCGGATTCTCTTCATGCTACAGAATCCTCGCAAATGGCGACTCGCCTGTAACGCCCTCTATCACGAAGAAATATATCTTGTCTGACGTCACTTCAGCTCTGAATAAAGGACTTGGTGTGAACCCAGCCGTATACTGTGTGGTATGTATATATTTCCAATTGTTCGTCCTCTGCAAAGACCAAATAAAAAATAAAAAAACATGTTTTTACTGTCCTGCGAAATGGCCGCCATTATTAATACGTTTTTTAAAATCAGAAATAGATCACTTTAGCAGTATGTTTTTCATGTTTTAATTCATTGAAGGAAACAAAATTATTTATTTAAAAAAAATAGGAGGCGGCCCCCAAAAAGGAAGCGGGCGGGGACGCTAAACATGTATATATTTTGTAGTGCCCTTACATAGGCCCAACAGATAATCAAATACGAAAAATGCCCCTTTAATGATTGGAAATATGTAATAATTATTGCCCAACTCTAACTTAAACCCTTAGCCCATGTCCAATTTTAAAGCGTTGCTGAAGTGATGTATTTTATGCCCTAGATAACTGTTTATTGCACAGCGCCATCTCATGGTCAACTTGCCAAAAGTGTGTGACTGAATATAAATTCCCACTTGGCAGAGGTTTGTTTTCTGAAATGAGAATATAACATTGCTTTTGTTGTTATTCTTGGTGTTGTTGTTGCTTGTGGTGGTGGTGGTGGTGATTTGTTTTTTTAGTAGTTCTACTGTTATACTTAACTCTAGGTACAAGATTCAAGCTAAACCGATACAATCAGGATAGGTCTATAATTGTAAACATGATCACAAAAGACTCTCTAGAAATAAACCTCGGGCAATTTTAACCTCGTCCATTCCCTCTTGAAATATGTAACCTCCTTTACAATTATATATTACATAATCCGAACATAATCAGGCAATACAATAAAGTATTCAAATTGTCCTTGAATTGAAATTGATTTCTTGAAAGCTTTAGCGATCGTGTTTGAAAGGAATGTGATTGTGATGGTAACGTGGTAACAGGAGGAGAATAATGTACATTAACTATGGGAGATACGGATGTGCTCCAGCAAGAAATCAAGAGCAATCAGTGATCTCTGGTAGGAGAGGATAGGTGAGAGGTACGTGATGGAGATGGTGGTGATAGTGGAAGCGATGATGCTTTCACCGGGCATGGTGGCTCAGTGGTTAGAGCGCCCGCCTCATGAACGGGAGGTCGTGGGTTCGAACCCCGGCCGAGTCATACCAAAGACTTATAACAATGGGACCTTCTGCCTTCTAGCTAGACGCTCAGCATATAAGATTGGAGAAGGGTGGTAATGACAATTTATGTTATGCAGGGCCCGCTGGAAGAGCAGTTTTATAAACTGAAGTGGCTACCCTGGGTATAAAAACGTTATTATTATATTATTATTTCTTGAAAGTCTTAGTGATCATGTTTGCTATTTATTACTTTGGTAACAGGAGAAGGATAATGAGCAGTACCTATGGGAGATCCGGATGTGCTTCAACAAGAAATTGAAAGCAATCAATTGTGGAACATCTCACGAAAACGGGGATAAGTGTGACTCCGAGAAGAAGATATCTTACCCTAAATTTCCCCCTTTAGTGATCGGTTAATCCTCGGAAACATTCGACGATCTCGCCTCCCAGTCCCTGATCGATGTCGCTTAGATGGGTGCGAGAGAGATGGATGATGAGTGATGATGACGTCGTCGAGGAGGAGGAGGAGGCAGAGGGGTGGGAAAGTCTTGTAACAGGAGACGCATAGAATTAGAGTACGATGGTAGGCGCAAGAAAATTGGAAAAAGAAGCATGTTATGTACAATGGAACATTTGAGGCCATCTTTTATTATGACTAAAAATCATCTTTTATTAATTGGGAAACTTGTTGTTGGCGTCCTGCGAGTTATATTATTTTTCATGTCATTTCTTTTTACGAACAATTTAAAACAATTATGTGAATACGTAGCATAATTATAGTATAATATATTAAACAAGTACAGCATATCCATTAATTTAATAAATATGTATGAAATCATAAACTCATAACTAAAATATTTTGTATGAGAATTAGAGAACTCGGGAAATAATAACATTAAATAAAATATTACATGATTTATGAAAGTAGAATTTGTTTCAAAGCTGTTTCTTTGCTTTAATACGGGTGTAAAAGAACGTCAAGAACAAATAAGGTGAGCAGAATAAATTAACTAATTGTTATTCAAACATTATTGATTCATTAACCTTGAACAAGTCATCCAACGAAATTCAACAAAATTAATCAATTTATCTGAAGGAAGATCATTATTTTAAAAAGAATTGGTCATGTTGTTAATTTAATGCTTTCGATTTGGAGTTATGATAGTAATGTTTACACATCTCAATAATTAAAACAAAGTCGTTGCAATAAAAGCGTGATTATTTGGCAAGGAAGATAAGTTGTAAACGCATAGCATTAAATTATTCTTCATAAATTGGTTTTAAATTGTTTTGAATGAAGGGTAATATGGACAGACAGACAAGAATTGAGAGAGAGAGAGAGAGAGAGAGAGAGAGAGAGAGAGAGAGAGAGAGAGAGAGAGAGAGAGACACAGAGAGAAAGAGAGAGAGAGAGAGAGAGAGAGAGAGAGAGAGAGAGAGAGAGAGAGAGAGAGCACTACGGTGATAATGATGATGAACCACACACACCCCGGAAGAATAGATGCCGATTCTGATGATGATGATTCTGATGATGATAATGATGTTAATGATGACGATTGAAACAAAGATAAAGGTAATGATGATAATAATGATAAAGTAGAATTCATGATGATGGTGGTGGTGGTGTTGATATAGATGATGATAAAGAAGAAGAAGAAGAAACTTCCAACTACCCACTTATTCCCGGACAACCACCCCGGAAACGCACCCGGACCATCACTCCCTCCCCCAAAGGAAGGGTGTAAGGAAGACTATAACGAGGACCGGACATTTTGCTCCTGTGGCAATTGCACCGGGCTTTATTTAGTTAAATATCTATGGTAAAGTGTGCAAATTGGACGTTACGTCCATGTTGTTAGGGTAAGAGTTAGGGTCCATGGTTATAATGTAGAGTCCAGGGTTGAACTTAAAGGTAATACAAAGTTTTGGTATGGGGTCATGAATTTGGTTCAAATGAACATAATTGGAAGCATATGCGATTTTAGAATATTCAGTGATCATTGTCGCGGTTGAATTCGAGTCTAAAGTTATGAAATTGTAAATAATAAACTCTTTATGTTGAATAGCTCCATCTCAAGGTCAAGATATTAATTAAGCCATTAAACAATGTTTCTTGACTAAAATCGACCGATTAGCTATCCCCATTTGGAAATTATATATATCACAAGTACATATTCTGAGATTCTCATGGTCGCAGTTTGCATTGTGTGGCCATAGGCGCTATTTGAATTTATCAAAATTTACCGGGAGCACCGGTAAATTTTTATTGTCAATTTTTCTCGAAAGCAGAAGGGTTTTAGGGGCTAAATTTACTGGTGATTATAAAACATCCACAGGGGCATCCAAATATATACAAATTGTAAAGAATCACTATTCACCCAATTTTCAACATATCCCTAAACTTTGTATATTACCTTTAAGAAATCGGTTAGTGTAGCAATTGAGTCGGAGCAATTGAGTCGGAGCAATTGAGTCGTAGCAATTGAGTCGGAGCAATTGAGTCGGAGCAATTGAGTCGGAGCAATTGAGTCGAAGCAATTGTTGCATGAGCAAGTGTAGTACAAGTCAAAGTCTTGTGGAGATTCCGCTTTTTTAATGCGCAGACGAGTAAATCTGCCCTAGCTTCCCGGACAAATTATCACCAAAAAAAAAAATCCCTGTATTTGGAACAACCAACGATCTCGCCTCCAAGTTCCCGTTTGATGTCATTTAGATGGGTGAGCAAGAGGAGGTGGAGGAGAAGGAGAAAGAGGAGGGATGGATGCAAGCGCATAGCTAGGATTTTTTTAGGGGGGCGGTAGTGATGGATGGATGAAAGATGGGGAACTGGAAGATGGGGAGGATGACCAGGAGAGAAGGGTGAGGAGGGGAAGGAGGAGGAGGAAGAAGAAAAAACGAGGAGGAGAGGGGATGGCGAGGAGGAGGAGAAGGAAGGGAGAAAGAGGAGGATAACGAGGAGGAGAGGAATAAGGAGGGGGAAATTAGGAGGAGGTGTAAAATAACGAGGAGGAAAATGGCGAGGAGGGGGGGGGGGAGTTGGGTAGTGAGGAGAAGGAGGCAGAGATGCGGGATTATCTTGTCGATGATGACGACGCAGAGTTTTGGGAGAACCTTCTTGAGGTGATGGGCAAAGCAGAGCACACGGAAAGAACATGAAAGGGGAAGAAAAATGTAAAAAAACAACAACATTTAAATCAGCATTTACAATTATATATATTACATTCACCTTTTCTGTTAAAGTTATTTTTGGTTTTAGTTTAGGTCTGAAATACCATGCATACACACATTATTACGAACGTGTTTACGACTGATCCCTTTCTGGGCTCAAAGTAGAAAAAATTGAGAATCCTGAATAAGAATTTAGCGGTATAATCATGTGTAAAATAAGAGTCTGTAAAGCCAGTATATTTTTGTTGTTGTTGTGGTGATTAAATACTGAAGAAGAGCATTTCATACCCCCTATTTGCGGTAAGTCCTCAAACTGTCCTCAAAATTATTTTCATATAGAGCAAGATTCGAAAATTCTATTTCTGATACAAAGAATGTATTTGTAGCTGCTCGGCGGATCGAGTTACCAAACATAATTCAGTGTCGGTTTTAGAATCCACCGAACATCGTATGCATTCGCTTCGAATATCTCACAGATTTGAAAGAGCGGGCGCTCCTTGCTGGTCTACCGCCCTCTACAGTAATAAACATTATAATCATGAAAGCATTTACATTTTTTTAAATTCAATCACATCAATAGGCCTCACACACACTCGCGCTTAAGCCAATTAAACTAATTTTGAATCCAAAACTAGTCAATTTGGCTACAATCAAGCCACATTTAATGTCGTAGATTCAAATTGTAAAATTATCAATTCAAATATGAATAAAATGTTTACAATCCAGTCATATTTGACTGAGTGGTAGTAATTTTACCTGAATGCTTAAAAAGCATAACATAATGCTTGTTAAAGTTGTTGGTGAATACACTCTAGTAACTCTGAGGCCCTCGTACGATTTTTTCCTATTCAGAATTTGATACAATGAATATTCTATGCAATTTGTGTTGAATATTCTTGGCAGTGTAGACTGCCTTACATTTCCTCCTCACTTTTTAGCGGAAAGTTAAAAGTAGACCATGCTCATAATGAAGATTGCACCAACCTTATACAATCATGTAGGTAGTTCAGAGACAGAATGACGATCACTCGTAAACAAGTGGACGTTTCGAAGCGGCTAATACTTCGCAGGCGCGGATCCAGGATTTCTTAGGGGAGGGGGCCCAACTTTTTTTTTTTTTTGCTCCCGAAAATTTGAAAATCGCGCCGGCCGAAAAGTCGCTCAGTGGGGGGGGGGGGGGGGGGGGGGGATCCCCCTGGATCGGGTGGTCGCGTTAACCGACCTTTTGTAGCGACATGCTTCTTTATTCACGAACTGTCGGGGTAATTTTTTTGAAATAAACTCCTCTCATCTATACGTGGACTGGCAAAATTTACCCGACACTTTGTGAAAACCCTATACGGTATACGCTTTCGTTTCATGAAACGCGTAACGAGATAACTCGACCGGACTCGATTCCCAATGATTCGAAGTAAGCATTCGGAAAGCTGGGCACACTCTGTGACTCTCAAATTCACAAACTGTGATGTATTTGTTTGTACACTCTGAAATGTTATGAATTTCCCTTTCAAACTGATCCCTCGAGGCTGTTGTTACGATATGAAGGACACGTTGTAACTTTTCTTTACAAAATATCCGGCTAGACAATCAAATTGTGAAAAATAATATCTAAGTCATTTCGTTTGTATATAATGTGGAAGGTTCTTGGATAATACATCAAAACGGTGTAATTCGTCTAATTGTAGTTCTCATTATGAATAGTGATCTCAAATTTCAAAATGTAGGCTTATATCTGTCTTGTTAATGTTTTCTTCAAACTTGTATTCGTCATTTTTTCTGATTTCTCCCTTTATTTAAGAATCTAGGTCAAGTTTTCTGTCAGGGGTCGAATTCCCTTTAATTTACAAACTTAATACCGCTGTTTATAAATGTGTGTGTGCGTGTATAAGGACCATACAGGTCTGCTCAGAGTTCGAAGAAAAAGCCCCCCCCCCCCCGTCCCCCATCCCCCAAGAAAAAAAAAGAATATATATATATATATATATATATATATATATATATATATATATATATATATAAAGAATATAGCAATAAATGATCCTACATACAAGAAGAAATCAGTCTACAAAATGTATTTTTGTACGGAGGATCGATCTTTAATTGTGTTTATATATCAAGGCCTCTGAAATAAAAGGGAAAAGAGCTACCCGCTCATCCAATAAATCCAGTGGGTGTTAGTTGCATAGTATGTTTATATGCTTATACATGTATCAATGTCGTATAGTGGTTCATGCTTTGGACTCTCAATTCACGGGTCGAGGATTCGAATGCCAGCTTGGCGATAACTTTGGCGAGATATTGGTCCACATTTGCAAATCTCCACCCAGGCGTAAATGTTCTCTTTTTTGTAATCCTTGCATGCCTTTTTCAAAATATTAACTAGATATCAAATAGGCGAATGAGGGGCGGGAGGGGGGGGGGCAGGGGCTGGATCCGCCCTTTATTCTCCACTGTTTGATTAACATTATAACTCATCGAATGTCCGCCAGCGACAGAGGTTTGAATTGAGGACCCAACCTAAATATGAATGACACGACTTCCTAAAGGACATTTTCTACTTGGGAGGGGTAACAAAAGGGACCAGTGATTTAGTGGCAATTTGAACAAGTAGCCTACTGGTAGGTTTATCATAAACACCAACATATTCCCCATCATAAACTTTGTGTTATAGCACACATGCCATTAAGGGGCTTGAGGATATTAGGATGAATGATATATATTTTTTAAAATTGCAACAGTGTCATAATTAAAAAGGGCGACATGAAAACTCAAGTACATTTCGTCCTTGTTTTCACGAAGTGACGGTAGTGAGGAAAATCGTCACGCAAAGTGAATGCAATTTTTGTTCACTACCGTCACTTCGAGAAAACAGCGACGATTTGTTTGGGGAGTTTGATTTCAATTAGGCCATAGCATTACTACTATGAATATGATTATGATGATGATGATGATGATGATGACGATGATGATGATGATGATGATGATGAAGGGGGGGGGAGGGGGGGGGGGGAGTTGAGTAAAAAAAAAATAAAAAAATTAACTACCCCCCCCCCCCCCGCGTCGAGAAAAAAAGTATAACGTTTTTAAATTCAATATTTTTTTTCACGAATTCGGCAAAAAATAATCAAAACATAATCGAAAAAGCCAACAACAAGCCCACATTGGCATTGGCTGGAATAACACGTATCATGGCGCTACCTCATTTTTCCAACGGCTGTTTAAAATTATTCGAATATTCTAGAAATGATTATATTTATGGATATTTCAGCCGTCTCTGAACCGATTTTGATCAATCAACGATGATTTTGTCATTAACATTGTATGCTCTTGTATTACTGAAATGATGATATATATATAGGGCCTAGACCCTATATGCATATTTTTCTCCCTAAAAAAAATTATTTAAAAAAATCATTATTATCATTATTTTTTTCTTTATTTTTTTAAACAGATTCCAAGATTCTACTTTGGACTACCTACACCAGAAAAAAACCCACGGAAATAATATTTATAATTAGGAAATTTGTATTCCATCCATAAATCATAATTGAGGGAATTTGGCAGTGACTTCGGAAGTATATAAAAGTAAATTGCCTCGTTAACGAAACTCTGGTGACAAAGGGTGTTTGAACGAAAATATTTCAAGATTTATTTCTTTACACAAAGTCTGACGGATAAGTACCATTATACGTAGTTTGCATGCAAGAGGGCGCACTTGCTTGTTGTGGGGAATTTCGCTGGAACGCGATCGACGAGACTGCGCTAGCTAGCTGCATCTTCGTGTACCGTAATTCGTATCATCATTTATTAGCACAGTACGTATCCAGGCCGGACTGACAGCGGACAACTCTCGTGGACTTACCGTCAAACTTATCGTGAATGTATAATCTTCAAATGTTGCAAATGCAATTTACACCGCCGCCTCAGGCCGCGCCAGCGCCTAACAAAATGAACGAAATGGCAGAAAGACCACTAGTTCAGTGTTCACCAGAATATCTGGCCCAATTAATGAAGGATAAGACATCTTATACAATGGTTTCGAGTATGTTTGTCCACGTCGAGAGACTTCTAGATGATGGTAAGTTTGCAAACTTTACTTGCGTGCATGGGCCTATGCAGCGGCCTGGGTGAGCGTGGCTGCGCTGGTATACGTTGTGTGTGTATGTGTGTGTGTGTATTGAAGCCATAAACTTCGGCTTGTGTGTTTGGGACATGTGCTGGAATGTGGTGTTGTGCTTGTAACTTTCTTACATAGCCCACCGTGCTATGGTTGTGTGGTGCATTTGTATTCAAATGTTGCGTTGTAACTTGTGAAGCTATATTGAGTCATTGCAATGGTATTTATGTGTTCTATAAAAAATGCATAGGCCTAGATTGGTTTCAGACGACACTGTGCTGTGCTTTGTTAGATTATAATTCTTACTCTTTTTAATCCTTGTTTTAGGAGGATAATATTAATGAACGAATGAACTTAGTTGGATTATGAAGCGACAGCCGACGCTAGATCTGCTGCAAATTTGAGAAGTAGACTAAGCTTAGGCCTAGTTTACTTTAAATTCCCAACAGTTTCATCTAGTTTCATCATGTTCATGAAGGAAAACTAATTGAAACATCAGTCATAAATGAATATGAGTAACTTGCCAAAGTTTGTCTGCAGCAAAATTGGTTGTCTTTAATAATTCAATAAAGTTGCAATGTAACAATATTTCTCCCTAAATTTAAAAAAAAAATCAAAACTCATAAAACTCATTGCCAACATCTACAAATTGAGCCTGGAGTCTTTGAGAAAAGGAAAAAACTTTAAATTAAAAAGTGATGGTATTTTCCTCCCCATTATTACTGCATTCCATCACACTCGACTACACTCGTTTTAACGTACAAGGAGTGTTGAGTTGTCATAATCCAGATTCAGATCAGATTCTGCATTTTGAAGTAGAGTAGACCTACTAGAGCTAATCCTCAATTTGACATATTTATAATGTCAGTAAAGTAAACATATACAGTTGTATGATAGGAACATCAAGTTAGTGCCACACATTGCTCATGTAAATATCACATTATAACAGACATACATGTACATGCATAGTTAAAATGTAATCATGAGGAAATCTATAATAACGCTTAGTTTGTTCGAGTTCGGTCACAGGTTGGTTTCATATTCATTCATAAATTGAATCAAGCTATTTACTGATACAGATAGTCAAATGCTGGTACCAGCAATTGTTGGAAAAGTGTGTCATTTTGTTGACAAAACGTCTGATTGATTTGAGATATTAAATAATTGATAAGCACCATCAAGTGAATACTCGAGAGCTTGAACAAATATTGAACAAATATTGAGCTTCAAATGAGTGTCAAGCTTGACACTGTGTTTACTCTGTTCGTCTGTTTATGAATCAAAATACACAAAGGTTCATTAAATATATAGGCATGCTGTAGTGCATTTATTTGCTCCATAATTGCATAAAGAACATGCATTCCAATATGTTTTGATGTTTCTTATTTCTAATTTTTATAATTTTTCCCGTTTCAAAAAAAAAATCTTTTCTTCTCTCAAATTAACTTTCTTGCTGTCTGAACATGGTTTTAATAAATTCTATTAAATTTAGCTTTTTTTTTTTATTTCTGATTACTGAGAAGTGAAAGTGGTCTAAAAATGAAAGTATCATCCACAACACAAGTTGCCTGCTTGTATTTTGGTAGCATTATTTTTCCATGAAGATTGACATTCAAATGTAGATGATGATTTGGTCCATGAAAATGTATTGCATAAAGTTCTCTGAAGGTTATTTTTGTTCCAGCTAAATGTAGGGGTGCAAACATAATGGTTGTCTAGGGAAACAGCAAAGACTTTATTCACAAGTTTTGGAGTATAAGGGGGTCTTAGGGTGTGGTCATCTCCCCTTTCTCCCCTAATCCAGCCAGTCTGCCAATATCCAAAGTGAAAAGAAGAAGCCATCCCTACAAAAACCCAATCTGAGCTAAAAGGACAAGTATGAAAAGAAAAATACAAATCAAGGAGTGTTCCTTTCAATTTTATATTTGAAAGGAATTCTTTAGAAACGGGAGTGTCTTTTAATTATTGTTCAATGAAGCATCTTAACCAGGGCCAGTTTAGTGCTTTAGTATGATTGAGTGTGGTTTCTCATAGATCTACACTGCTTTAAATAGTTCAACCTTCAATGCACGGTCTCTCCATAGCAGGCCCCAATCATGAAAAGAAGAGTCTTGAATAGGAAGCTGTGTGGTGATTACAGCCAGGGTAGCAGGAGGGTTACACTGAATAGGGCTGCTGAAATACCTCAATGGCCTGGGCAGGGCTATTCATCACATTTGCATTTGAAAGGGGTTTCTGGTCACAATGGTCAGTTGTTCAGAAAAGGTCTATTTTCTTCCACCCACCCTGGAATGGTAAAGCCGAGACCAAATTGTTGGTCATTCATAATGACCACACTGTAGGAGTTCCTTTGGACAAATTGTTGAAAGGGGTGTGGTTTATTCAAGTTTAATGAAAGTTTCACATTTCCACAGTGGGCTTATACTTTGTGGATAATAATTTGAACACAGAATCTTGGGCTAACATAATTGGAAGAATTCACAGACTATAATTGGTCCAGTTACATGTAGATATTTATAACATAATCATGATGAATTTAGTGGAGTATATAGCCTGCACTGAACAACATAACTTGCATTGTTTTGCATGTACATGTACTGTACATGCAGGTCGAGTATCAAAGAGATTTATCATCAGTGGAGTATTCAAGGAAATGTTGGTTACCAGATTCCATGAATGCGCAAGGCATGGCTTCCTGTAACAAGGGACAACCAACACCAGGAAATAAGACCTGGTTGATGAGGAAGTGACTCCTGTCTCTTCCCTTCTTATCTGTGTCCAGCAGTACACCTTTATGTATGAGAACTGGCAACAGTCTTTTGTATTATGTAATACCATAGATTGATGAAGCATCAATAGTCAGTGCATGCTATTAAATGTATTGTCAGAGGCAACTCTCATAATTTATAGATACAGTTGAAGGAAATGCCTAGTTTTGTTCAGGATGAGATACATTACTTTGAAATGAGAGTTTACATTAAACAAGGTATTAATTTATATTAAAGCAAATAAAAATACTTGTACATACGCAATCTTGAGACAACACGAAAATAAAGGCTTTTTTCTACAGCACATGTGAAGATGGACAAATGTAGGAAAACATTGAGAAATGACATTTTGTTCTGTGTGTCAATATTTTAGTGAATTAACTTGAATAGAGCATGTTTAGTGTCATAACGAGGGACAAAAATCAATTTACATGCTTGGCGCTGCATTCAATATAAAGTAGGCATCAATATTCATGGTGCAGCTAGAGTATGAAATTAATTTGATTTTGGAGCTTGGATTCTAAATTATTGATTCTTGACTCATCATTACATGTAGAAGGCAATCTGTCATTATTGTGCGTGGTTAGGGGTTTGCAATCCGCTAAAGCCTGTTAGGCCTCGATTCATCTTTCTTTAATTTGTCATCGGGGCATGGAAGTGGGTGTCAAATCTCAGGAATTTACTCTTTACGCCTTTGTTACCTTCATGTACATATAGTGTGGTATACACTGTACATTGTACATGGATAGACTCGTTTTGCTGTCAACTAAATGCTTGAAAAACAGCAGAAGGCGTGGATTTTTAGGTGAAACGTTCGTCATTTTCCCCATGCAATAGACTTAAATCAGTCTTTCCATGCTAGTGCTACTCATCAATTTTAAAGATTTATTATTAATTTATAACGAAAATTCATGTAGAAAAAAAATAGGAAAAAAAAAAGAAAAAAGAATCCTATTGAATTTGTACACTAAAAGCCTCTTGTTCTCAACTTTTTGATGTTTATTTATCCTTAACAGTTCCAGTGAAGAATAAAATAGAAAGACAAATTGAAAATGAAATGATAACAAAACAAAAATTGAAAAAAGAAAACAGCACATGATACCTGGAATTCATTAGATTGGTACAGAGTAAGATGCAAAGCGCAACCATCAACATACACAATCCAACCACATTTGAACTGGTTCTCTTCTCAGGCCTCTCGGTGAGCTCTTACAAAGTTCCATGTCTCCATTGGGAAGACAAGTCTTGGAGAAGCAAGTAACCCTGACAACCCATTGTCAATACTACCTGGTTGGGTCAGAATGCGGAGATTTTGACAATACTGCGACCTTTGACAACCTTTCAAGCATTCTGTCATTATTTGCCTGGGGAGCCTGTGGGACTGTTATTAGTATAGCCTACGTGCGTCTGGCGATCAGAAAATAATGATTGCTTGGTTTCCTCTCACTTTCAAAGTTTTTCGTAATAAACTCCCGGGTTAAAGCCCCACTGCACTACTTGTACAGTAGCTAACTGCTCCCTCTTATAGAAAACAATGCCTAAGCGGTGCCTGTTGGTCCCCCATGATCCTCTCTTTCTTTTGTTAATTGAGAGCTGAGTTGTTGTCAGTGATCATGCTGGGTGGTTTAATCCGCTCTGGCCAAACTAGTACAGATGGGCTTTAAAGCTACCATTGAGATATAATGAAACTACATGTACACACACACACACGCAACATCAAGGACTTCTAACTATAAACAAACGCTCAAGACTGAATGACATCACTTGGGTTTGCCAAACAAATTGTACATTTTATATCAGTACCGGTATATGTTTTTGTCTCCCTGAGTAATTTGTCATTAATGATGAGGAAATCGTAGCAATAGTGCCCCATTAGGTGTCGGTTTCCATGTGCAGAAGGTCATAATTTGCTGACACCACTAGATTATTTAGTGGAAATACCATTAATGGGTGTACAGGTCTTGCACACAGCGAACCCATAGTCCCATCAAGAAATACTTCCTAGTCTCCCAGCATGGACGGTCAGACCTAAATGTACCATGTTCTTCAGGTGAAGGAAATGCATGATGAACAATTCAAAACTTTCAGATTGTTTATGGGAGTTCGACAATCATGGACTTGATAATTACGCTTCTGTAACATTACTATTAATAGTGGACAAGACCAGGAATTCAAGTCAACATTTTTAAAAGT